CACTGGCAGGGACTAGATTTTCTCTCTTTTTGGTTGGAAACATTTTAGTGTCGTTGATTTTAAAGCTTGAATATAATAATAATGTTGGTACATTCTTTACCATTTTCTGACACGAACATCTTTTATTTTCCAAGTTTCACTTGGTTAAAAGTTGTTAACGACATAGGAAATTCTTTGTTTTGGGAGGTAGTTGTGCCATTTTTCTCTTTCTGTTATTACCATTCAATAATCACGGGAACTAACATTTTACTGTATCTCTACTTTATTCTGAGTTCTCTATATATTACCAGAGGCCCGTTGCATGAAGATTTGTGCAATAGGCCTTCCTTCCACTGGCTGCCAGCACCAGTTTTCTTCTGGTACCTGGGACCCAGTCCTTTCTGGCCGCTGCCTTCCATCTTTGCTCCAGCTGGCTGGAGTCTTTGCTCAGGCCAGAGCCTTCAGTCTTCTCTGCTCCGGCCAAAGCGCCACTTCTGTAGCTCCTCTGCCCCCCTTCATTCCCCTCATAATAGATGTTCCACCCTGCCCAGCAGCTCTGTACCTGCATATGCAAATGAACTTGCCATCTTTGGTGGGTTAATTTGCATAACCACTCCTGGTCGGCTGTCAGTTGTCATGGAGGTATGGTCAATTTGCATATTTTAATTTTATTAGTGTAGATTTTCTTATTTAGTCCAAGTGATTATCCTGTAAATAGCCATCTATGTTCCAGAAGAGAGAATTAGGAGTTAGAGAGTCTAGTGACAGGTAGAGCAGATATTTAAATCCAGATATTCCTGACTTCAAGATATGCTGTTTGTGCTGAGCCACCTGGAAGTGACCTTGGACCTTATCTAGCTCAACTTCACCTTAACATCTAAATAAATACATTATGTCTATATTGCTATTCATCAAAAGTGTATTACCTGCCAGAGGCTATGCTAAGCACTTTATATACATTATCTAACCTACTACATATATTAAGCAATAGAGAGATTAAGTCACTAGCTTAAAGTGACTAGATAGTTACTTAATGGTACAGTGTACAGGTAAACTTGAGATTGTCTGAATCCCGAGTCCGTGGTTAAACTATATCAGCTCGATGTTTTTCTGAAACATGAAAAAACTAAATTTGACAAGGTTAAGTGACAGTCCCAAGATCATCAGCTCTTTGGTGGCAGAACAAAGTTCAAACTCTGGATTTGCTGCCTGCCTCTGGATTTGTTTGTGTTCCTTCTACTGTTTTGCAGTGGGTAATGCTTGATTAGAAATGACATCCTGTATAATAAAGAGGTAATATGCAAATTGTCCATCACTCCAACACACAAAATGGCCGCCCCATGTGATCAGAGATGGCCACCCCCATGTGGGCACAAAATGACTGCCACAAGATGGCCAGCAGAGGAAGGCAGTTATGGGAGATCAGGCTAGTAGGCTAGTAGGGGAGGACAGTTAGGGGTGACCAGGCTGGCAGGGGAGGGCAGTAAGGGGCAACCAGGCTGGCAAGGGAGGGCAGTTAGGGATGACTGGGCCAGCAGGGGAGGGCAGTTGGGGGTGACCAGGCCTGCAGGGGAGGGCAGTTAGGGGCAATCAGGCTGGCAGGGGAGCATTAGGCGTTGATCAGGCTGGCAGGGGAGTGGTTAGGAGGTGATCAGGCTGTCAGACAGAAGTGGTTAGGGGCAATCAGGCAGGCAGGCAGGTGAGCAGTTGGGAGCCAGCAGTCCTGGATTGTGAGAGGGATTGCCCATTTAGGCCTATTTCACCAGGATCGGGCCTAAATGGGCAGTTGGACATCCCTTGAGGGGTCCCAGAGCATGCAGGCTGGGCTGGGCTGAGGCCCGCCCCCCATGCACAAATTTTGTGCACTGGGCCTCTAGTACTAGCATAATAAATCCTAACAAAAATGGGGTTGGAGTACTTTATGGCACCTGATTCTTCTACACATCTGAGTTCAGCCATCTGCATTCTCACGAGTTGCTTGGGGGTTTGTTCATCTGTGGGAAATAAGGTATAGAAGTATCTTTATGAGTCCTAGCTACTAAAATTATGCACATCCATTCATTATTTTTCTTTTTTATATCAGTGAACACTGAATATAGTAAATCAGAAAAGAGATTTCTAATAGTTCACTTTATAAATTGCTTTAAATTCTAGGTACAATTAAATTAAAGGTATTCATTGCATGAGGTTGTGTTTTTTTTTAAAATTTAATTTCTGTATTGTCAAGAGTAACATGTCAAAATATGGTGAAAATAGTTTTTTTCTCAGAAATGCTGGAAGCATCTCTAAGTTCAAGCAAGTTCCTTTCCAGTGCAGTGTGTATAATTAATCACCTTTCTCTGTTTCAAAATTGTCAGCCACAGAATGGAAACTTTAGCACTTACTAAAGGATCAAGTACTGAAATAAAAATAATCTGCCTTTTAGTTGTCACATGGCATCCATAAATCAAAGCCATTTTCTGGAAGAAAGTATCTGTTATCTTTACTGAATGTGCAGCCATGGCTGTTGACCTTTGATAAGTGGAACGAAGAGTGTGATTTGGGCATTTCTTCTTGGATTCCTGTAGCACTTCCCAGGTGCCTGCAGAGCACGTGAAATATAGTGTATAGCATGATGGGAGGAAGAAAAACAGGACCCCAGGAGGCCCTGTTCCCTACCCTCACAAATACTAATGGTGATGTCAGACCAAGTAGAGAGTCATAGTCTCACAATCCTCCTTCCTTCCTTCATATTCTCTTTTGCACCCAGGCCGTGCTGTATATTGACCCAGCAGTAGTGATGAAAAATAGGCACCCCATGCTTGATAAAGAATAATGCAGACAAAAAAAAAACACCTTTGCCTGCCAAGGCCGGTTTGGCTCAGTGGATGGAGTGTCGGCTTGCGGACTGAAAGGTCCCAGGCTCGATTCCGGTCAAGGGCATGTGACTTGGTTGCGGGCACGTCCCTGGTGGGGGGTGTGCAAGAGGCAGCTGATCGATGATTCTGTGTCATTGATGTTTCTGACTCTCCATTCCTGTCTCTTCCTCTCTGTAAAAAAAAAAAAAAAAAAAAAAAAAATCAATAAAATATATTAAAACACACACACACACAAAACAAAAACAAAAACAAAAACAAAACATTTGCCTATCACATGTACCCAGTACAGCGTGTCCTACCACATGGAGCCTTCCAGTCCTACCCTTTCATGTTACACACATTGAAGTAAGTCGTGAAAAAAAAAAGATAGATGACAAAGACCCCAATATCGATGCACAAGGAGTAGAAAACTGAATGCCCAAGGAAATCCTAGGCACAGACACATCTTTTCTCCTTGCTGAGGGTGACGTTGTGGATTGAAAGACTTGTGCCTCATTATTGTGCCAAATGTAGATTTGCTCATTCATTTAACCTCCTGAAACTCAGTGTCTTCACATGTAAGAGATCAAGACTGATACCAATTGGTTGGGCACAAATTAGTCTCTGCATGAATGCTGCCTGGTTCTGCCCCTTTCTTGTTATTCTGCTCCTGGTCCCTCTGAGGAAGAAAGGAGTGGGCACTTTGATTATATATGGATTGGCTATAAAGTAAGATGGCACCCTTCATCCACGCAGTAGATTTCATATCCCTGGAAACAGGGTCTCTTTCTGCCAGACTTCTTAAATAGAAGAAGAAATTGTTTCAGGGTGTGTATACTCTTTGTGGGAAAAGCCAGTTTGATGGCTTGTCATCCCTATCCCCACCCCAGCTCCATTGGTACAGAGTGCTATGCTAAAGGATTTGTGTCTGGTTTCTGAATTAAACCCCAGCTATAGAAGAGAATGATGTGCTATTGGTAATGTTGTTTTAAGGAGACGATTACTGGCTCTGAAAAAAAATGTGCTCAGTAATTCTATGTAATAAAAATCCTCTCTTGATAAGGTGCTGTCTGACATTTATAAACGGACCTTTTTACAAATAAACGTGGACTTCTCTAACTGAAGTTTGAAATGATGAAAAATATAAGAAACGGTAGTTTGCCACCATCTAAGGCATTGGGCCCAAATGATGCTATTCAGTTAGCATCATTTTGTAAATTGGTGATGCTTTGTAGCTCATTTATCTTTGCTTTTGTTTTGCTAAAGGAAAATAATTGGTTGATTTCCAGAGATGTAACTACAGTGAAATGTGGCCACAAAGGTTTAGCTATGATGTCCTGCACATATATATCCTCTAAGATAAAGTAAACAGAAGCTCCTGTCTTAAGTTGGCATTGGGCAGAGAATACATAATAAGAATATTTTTAGAATTGATGTCCTAGAGATTGCAGGTTGGAGGACAATTTACTTTGTGTATCCCCTTTGCTCCCCTCTTCACTTAAAAAGCTTTCCTCTAAAAAGCAGCATTTGTGCATAAAATGTAACTGTTTAACACATGTGTCAAACACAAGGCCTGCGGGCCAAATCCGTCCCGCCAGGCCTTGCAATGTGGCCCACACCGCGCTGTCATCACTGCACTCCGCTGAGTTTCCATCACAATGACAGTTTATGACTGTTCAGTAAAACATTCGGCCCGCGATTTAGGCTGGATTTTAGATTTTGGCCCCTTCTCTGATTGAGTTCGACACCCCTAGTTTATAAGTACCAGCTACGTGCAAGGTGAAATCAGGCTAAAACACTGAAGGTAACACCATCAAACACTAAAACACCATCCAAAGGGCTGCATCTCTTCTCCCGCTGGGTGGGGTTGTATGATGTGATTTTATGTGCAGAAGTTTCAGATAATATTTTCAGAATGGGTCAGAGTCACCTTCCGCCTTCTGTAGTCAACCACCTGTCATTTTAGCCACTTTGTTATTTGAGCAATTCAGTCATTGGGATAGGGAGGGCTGACTAAGCCGCATGCATGGTAAAATAAATGATGATACTCGTATTGGTAAGAATCTGTTTGTTGGTATCTGCTTGCTATGTTTGCAGGGCCCTGTGGTTTAATTTCCCTAGTGACACCAACACGAGCAGAGAAACGCCATGTGCTTTGACACCTGTGTGTTTTCCTCCTCCTAGGGCGTGTTGGAGAGCTTCCTGGGCACAGCCGTCTCTGGAGCCATCTTCTGCCTCTTTGCTGGTCAGCCGCTCACCATTCTGAGCAGCACGGGGCCCGTTCTGGTGTTTGAGAGGCTTCTATTTAATTTCAGCAAGTATGTGCAGACACATCTAATTGTAGATTGGGACTGTTTGACTGCAGAACATTCGTGGTCTAGATGGAGCATAATTCCGAACACCAAAATTTGGGAATTGTCAGCCGTGGAGGGGGAAGGACCCTGAGAGGATAGGTAGTCCAGTAGTTATTTTGCATCTGATTCAATGAGGCCCATGCCTCCCCCATACATGCGTAGGCTCCTTTACCCTCTGACTTCCCCGCTGGGTTTGGTAGAGTGGGGAGCACTTACAGGACAGGAATGAAGAGAGATCAGGATATGTGTCTGCCTCCCCCACTTCACTGTCTTGGCTTAGCACCCTTGCCTGGCACTGGCTGGTCCCTTGAGTTCGGCTCCTGTAGGTAGCTCCTCCACCCTGGCTGTAGCCCTCAGCAGGTTCTGGGGACTCTGTTCCTTCCTTGGTCTTTTCAAACCAGGACGTAGGAATGGCTTCTTAATCTTGCCGGTCCCTGTAAATAGTCCATTTATTAAATCAGAAATCCATTTGAAAATGACTTCTGGTTCCTGCCATGACCCTGACTGACACACCAGAGACAGGAGATGTCTTGTTCAAGGTCACATGGCTCATGCATGAATGAGACTGGCTGCCCGTGTGGTCCTCTGCCCCTAACCTCCACTACAGTGTTTTTAGCTAAAGATGCCTTGTAGCACTCAGCCGAGTAATAACTAACATTTGTTGAGTGCTGACCATGTCCCAGGCATTATCTTATGTGCATTACATACACTCCCTCATTTAATTCTGGTAGCAGCCCTATGAGGTAGGGCCGTGTTCTGCTTGATCGATGAGAAAGCTGGTGTAGTGTGGGTAAGTGGATTGCCGACGGTTACATCACCAGTCATTGGCTGGGCTGGGAAAGGAGTCCCTGCTTTCTGACTCCGTAGCATTCAGCTCTTACAGAATCACTAGACATAATAATGGGAGATATGAATATGTTTTTTGTAGAAATTGGTAGATCATTGTTTTGAGAAAATCAAGTTACGCAAATTATCCAAGTGGCCACATTAGCACACAAATGGGTTTAAAATAAAATTTGGTATTCCAGCCTCTTTCTAATGAACTTAATACCTTCAAGAGAGAATTGCCTTTTGTGGCCAATCTCAACCCTTAAACAGATTGAATAATTTCATAAAACTTGCTATTTTTACTCCACGTTGGAATTTCCATATTACATTATTACACATTTTTAGTATTTTAATGTTAGAAATGTCATTACTTATACCTCAGGAGGGGATGAGGACTTAAAACTAGCGGTTTGAAAACTGGGTTGAGAATGTCAGCGAGTGTCTTTTGAGAATTTGAAATTCTACATTTTAAATAATGTTGTGAGTTTTCTCTAGCTCATTACTACCCATCCCTCCTCTCTTAGAATTCTCAGAAAGACATTGGAAAGAATTCTGTTCATGTCAGTTTATAGAAAGAGTCAAGCAGTCTTTATATGTTTAAGAAAAGATTGTGTGAGACGAGAGCTTTTGTGGAAAGATTAAACAAGCATGTACTATAAACAGGAACAAACATGCACAACCCTTGGGGAAAGATTTATAGGATGCAATGTGATCAGAGCCTTAATCTACAGAAAATGTTTGTATCTCAGTTTACTTAGATAATTGAAAGAGAGAGATTATTCCCTTTCACTAAGTACGTTCCTTTCTCACTTTCCCTTCTGTTTCATCATAATTGGTAACATAAACACAGTTCCAAGTGATTTATTGGAAAACAGTTGTAAAGCAGCAAGAAACCTTGTAAGTCAGTGATGGATTTAAAGTGAGGTTTCTCAAATGTTTCCTGTTGTGGCAATCCTTATTTTATTTACAGTACTGTATCATTTACTTAACTATTATAATGAGAGTGCTAATATTTTGTCTACATGCAGAGTATTTGTCTAGATGGATATTCCCCAAAGTATGTTTTATCAATTAGTAGTCCCATGGATACTCCATGAAAAAAAAAAAAAAAAAAAAAAAAAAAAACCTAATAAGTCTGGGAAATGCTATATATTATATCTGCCTCTTGGCAGTTCACTTTATATGTTAGCTTATGAAGGGATCTGAGAAATCCTTCAGTGTAGAAACTGTTCTACTCTGTCTTTCCCAGACTTTCCCCAACATATTTTATAATTTTTTGAGAAATAGTTAAATTCTTATTTTGTAGGTTCAGTGGGCTCATACAGTAACGCTACATAATCCACAGATTTTCTCTGTCACAGGATATAGATTTGAATTTTTGCCCTGCAAAGTGGAGAATCACAAAAAAAAAATGTGAGTGATATGTGCTGTCACCTTTTACAATAAAATTAGTAACAGAATGAAGGAAAGAGCTCACAACTGCCTCCCAATTTCTGCCTTCTCTTTTGCATTATTTTTGTACATTGTATCCCAATAATACAGAAATAGATGATTGGACAAGGCCACCCACATTATGGAAAGAGAGATGGAAACATCTTTGAGGGAGAAACATACATTGGCTGCCTCCCACACGCCCCCTACTGGGGACTGAGCCCAAGACCCAGGCATGTGCCCTGACCAGAAATCTAACCATGACCTCCTGGTTTATAGGTTAATGCTCAACCACTGAGCCATGCCAGCCAAGCAAGGAATGATTTCTTTATGGTAGCATAATGATATCACTAGACCAAATCCTTAAACTTGATATTTTTTGGAAAACAAATCAAGAATGAGCTTTTATCTAGGGGCTCAATGTGATCTTTCAATGTTGGCAATCTCTCTGCAGACATTCGGTAGTTGTATATTATTCTTTGTGATCACTGGAGACGGAATCTAACATTTCTTTCTCCTTTTCAGGGACCATGGTTTTGATTATTTGGAGTTTCGCCTGTGGATTGGCCTGTGGTCAGCCTTTCTGTGCTTCATTTTGGTGGCCACCGATGCCAGCTTCTTGGTTCAGTACTTTACTCGCTTCACTGAGGAGGGCTTCTCTTCTCTGATTAGCTTCATCTTTATCTACGATGCTTTCAAGAAGATGATCAAGCTAGCCGATTACTACCCCATCAACTCTGACTTCAGAGTGGGCTACAATACTCACTTCTCCTGTGCCTGTATGCCACCCGACCCAGGTGAGGACACCGTGGGCAGCATCGGTGCTTGCCTGGTGGTTGGAGGAAGGTGCGGGGTTCATGCGTGCAAGCTTTCAGCATGGGATTGTGACCCGCAGGAAGGGGTTTGTTTTATTTTCTCTTTGAAACCATCCTGTTGAATTTGAAGTGTCGTTGCCTGAGGAATCTTAGCCATGTGATTCCACGTGACTGGAATCAGCTCTAGAATCTGAACATAACCAGCTCAGTACTTTAAAATTAACTCAAACTGCATTAGTTTCAAGGAAATTGTGTGTGAGTTATTAGTAGTCTTATCTGATAGGTGAGGAAAGCAGGTACATACATTAACAGATACAAGGACCAGGCAAATCTAGACCTCTGAGCATCTGTCCCATATTTCACTGCTCCTTTATTGCTACGGGAATCTCTTCCTTTAAGGAAACTCAAAATAGATTGTTTTAAGCCTATAGAAGAAGCAAAGGAGACACTAATTCACTTTGTATATCTGAATCATAAAATTAAAAATAAATGCAGACTGGAGTCACCTGGCAGTAAAATAGAGCCTTAATGTTCATCTCTGTTAGACAACATAAATAAAAAAAGGAGAGGAAAAGAAAAAAACAAAAGAAAAAAAGAAAAGAAGGAATTATATCAGAGATTTATACTCTAGAGTCAGGAAAAACATAAAAGTAAAATTAACTTCTGGATAAGAAATATGATTCTGTACATCTTAGCACTTTAATATCCATCTTGTCAAACCTGGGAACTTTTTCACACACACAAAAAAAGTTTCAACACTTGGTCTTTGAAAAAATTTCTAGTAGTAATTCACCATCATTTTATAATAGGGAAGGCGTTTGGAAAAAAGGATTCACTTGGAGAAAAATTGCTTTACATCTGTCAGAGACAATTAAATGATAATAGTGCTAGTGGTCCCAAGATATGCAATCAACTACATGTTGATGCCCTTTAATGTGAAGATTGATATACAGCCCATGCATGTCCTTTGGAGTGTAGAACCAGTTACAGCAGTGTTCTGAGGGCTGTGCAAACATGGACATGAGTGTGGGGCACATTTAGAAAAAACCCTCTTAATATTTATAGGAAAACAAATATGGTTATTGTATAGACTACAGTGCAAATGCTTTTGAGTTTAAAGACTAAATGAAATGCTACAATGCTGGAATTCTGATACACATGGCAGGCTGTGTCAGATTACTCCCAGATGTTTGAGTTGTGTGTGTACCTTCATTCTTCTCTGTCACTTTGGGGAGAACTTTTACAGGACTGATATCATCTTGAGCAGTGAGAGAAAAGAGAACACTATCTTCCTAAAAATGTGTCTATCAACAACACTGATGAGAAGATAGGGCATTGTTGGGCTTTGCACACATGGATTTTTGTTTTGTTTAAGGAACATCGACACACATTAAGAGAAAATCCATGCTTAAAAGCAAAGCAGAGAGAGTATAAAGTGGGAATATGAAAATTCGGGAGAACTTGAATCACATGTAATTATGAAGGCCTGTTATTGTTAAGATGTATACTGATTGGAAATATTTTATAACTTAAAAAGTATATGGGAAGAATAGGTACTCAATACATTATGGATATTAGAATCAGTTAAATATGCTTCATAGAGAAACACAGATGTTACCCATTACCCAACTGTGTAGAGCTCTTCCCAGGAGAGAAGGGGATAGAACTCCTAATCATCACCCATCCTGGACTTTCAGGGGAAGTCCAGACTGTACATGTTCAAAATATTGGATCACAGACATATAGCAGGTACTCAAATAAAATCATTTTGTTCAATGTCATTTTGTTATAGATGAATGAGATGCTGTAGGAGCTTAACTCTTGTTTATATCAGTTAGCTGACAGTAAAATTGGTTTTGTTATACATCATTTTGCCTAAAGTCACCACCTATCAACAGTGTTACATGAGGACTTATTGCATTTAATTGTGGGATTTCAAACTCTACTTTTCCTTTTATTCTACTTATCTGTATGTATATATTTATGGAAAAGTCTGTGAGCTGACCTCTTAGGCAAGTCTGAATAATCATACACCAAGATTTTCTAAAGAGAAAACATACCACTCATCAGTGCTGTGGTGTGAGGTGTTTGTGAGGACAGGTGAGGGCTTTGTCAGCACACCTGTCACAAGGAGAGATCTGCCGTCAGCCCGGTGCCCACCTGAGGGGAGTGGAAACTTGCTCCCATTGTTTTAATTGGATGCTGGCAGAAAAGGTAACATGAAACTCAGGAAGGCATATCTGAATGTGTTTTCATTATGAAAGACACAAAAAGGTTTTACGTGTCATTTTCCTTCCAAGCAGTACCTTGGTTTCCTTGAAAAAATGATATTAAGGCCTACACTGATCTGACGTTTGGCATGGCAAGTGCTGGCTGAGGTGGTGTGGCTCTTCCTTTGACCTGTTTCTCCCAGGTTGTGTACAAGTCAGTCCTATGTAGCTAGACAGCCCTTCTATGTCCGGAGGTACCAGCAAAACAGGACTCTTGGGTTTCGAAGTCAGAAAATCACACATTCCTGTCCCAGCTCAGTAATGCCCAGTGTGTGACTCTGGGGAAAGCTCATGTTCCTGAGGCAGCTTAGTCTTGCCAGGTCACCTGACAAATGGGGTTAAAAATAGAACCTACCTTATAGAATTGTTTTCAAGGGGGTGGGGGGAGAAAGGAGACATTATAGAGAAGACTTAGTTTCTAATATGTGATAAATAATTAAATGTTAACTGCCATTATTCATTAAAATTGAAGGCTCGTGAGTAGCTTTTAAGTAGGATGATAATAGAACAAAGAAATCCGTCTTCCTCATTCTCCCTTCTGAGGAAACATTATTGGGCAGTTGGCCCATTCTACAATAGGACTGTTGATGGTACTCTGTATTTTTAGAGTCATCCAGAGGAGTGGCACTCACGACCGATGTGCTCATGAATGCCAGGATGGAGATGGGATCTGTTTCTGGTTTGGAAAAAAAGCAAATGGCTATTTGCATTTTAGTGACAGTCCATGTTTTACAAAAACCCCTTAGGATTAATGATAGTGTATTTCTCCAATAGCCTTGGTATGTATTTATAGCAAATTGCAAAAACCTACCATAAATTTAGTACTTCATGATAGCAAACTGAAAAACGATAGCAAGAGAATAATGCAGTATCACGTACAGCTAGAGTAAGTATTCTAAAAACAACAAAAGACTGGTCTTTCATCACAACATGCCCTCCTACTAAAAGAATTCAATCAATGAGTCAATAATATTTAAACTGGCGGGTGACTTGTTTTCCAACATGAGGGCAGTATGTAACAGTGAACCAAGAGCTACACAGATGTAGTCGTGTTCCTGCAAACTGAGAAATGGTTTTACAGGAGGAAAACAAGAGTCATTTAATCACTAAGAAAACTCTACTCGTGGCCAAAGTAATAATGTGAGTTTTTATAATCTTTTTTGTTCTCATTTGCTTACCTAAAACTTCATCACTTCCTGAGTTTCCTTTTCTTTTTAAAATTTATTTCTTAAAGTATCTTTAATAATAAAAGCATATTATGCCAATTAGCCTGGACATCCTTCCAGATGAAGCTGGGACTGCAAGGGAAGCCTAGGTCCCAGGTGCCTGCCAGTGGCTGGAGGGAAGCCTGGGCCCTGGAGGCCAGAGGGGGAAGGAAGGCCTACTCTTGCAGGAATTTTGTGCATTGGGCCTCTAACAGTTAGTATACAATCTTATGTTGGCTATAATATGTTTCAAGTGTGTCATATAGTAATTTGGCATCTTTATGCCTTACAATGTGATCACATCACTAATTCCAGTAATCATGTGTCATCTTGTAAACTTACCACAATATTCTTTACTATATTCCCCTTTCCCTTTGACTGTGGTCACTCATCCCCCATTCCTCCCTCTGGTAATCATCCCTTTGGCTTGTTACTATGAATCTGTTTTTCTTTTGTTTGTTTTTAGATTCCACATGTAGGTGAAACTATATATATTTGTCTTTCTCTGCCTGACTTATTTCACTTAGCATAGTTCCCTCTAGATCTATCTGAGTTTCCTTTACTTAATGTACCCTTTTCTCCCTCTCACCCCATCCATTGCTCGGGAAAGAAATGCCATAGATAAAAATGTTTGGCACCTAACAGGCACTGCGTAAAAATTTGTGTTTTGTTTTCTTTTTTAATTTCTCATCACCCCACAAAAAATACTCTAGACAATTTGTATTCATATACAGGGGTTCACACATTTTATTTTCCCTGAAAATTTCCTAGCAAAAGATCCTAACCAAGCTTTTAGGGGAAGCCAATAAAAATTGCAACTACCTAATATGCTGTGGTAGATAAATGTTTAACATTGAAGCCATATTCAAAGAAAAAATATTAAGGTGTTCAGTGCATCATAATTAGATAATTTAATAATATTCCACTGAATCTCAAGACTACGAAAGTGTTAGCAAGCATGCATACAGCATACACAATCATATAGAAAAAGGCTTTAAAGTCTTAGAGGTCAGCTCTGCTAAGAGGAATCTAATTCATTCAAAAACATAAAAATCAGCCCTGGCCGGTGGTTCAATGGTTGGAGCATTATCTCTTATACCCAAAGGTAATGGGTTCGCTTCCTGGTCAGGGCACATACCTAAGTTGCTGGTCAGTCCTCGGATAGGATGCCTACAAGAGGCAACAGATTGATGGTGAGGATTTTAAAAGCAAACAATACGTTTTAAAACAAAAACAACAAAAAATAAAAATAAAATAAAAAGCAAACAAACAAAACATAAATGTTGGAATTTTGTGAACAGGATGTGGACTTTCTTTACCCCTTTTCCTTCCCCTTCTATGATCAAAACAAAAATTTTTAAAATATATTTTATTGATTTTTTACAGAGAGGAGGAGAGAGGGATAGGGAGCTAGAAACGTCGATGAGAGAGAAATATCGACCAGCTGCCTCTTACACACCCTCTATCGGGGATGTGCCCGCAACCAATGTACATGCCCTTGACCGGA